AGAGTCCCTATTTCGAAAAGTCCGCTCCAAAAGGAGGAAAAAACCGCGCAAACTTGAGAGAGATGATTAGTTTTTAAATATATCCACAAGGTTTCGAAGTATTTAAATGACTTTCCAACTCATCTGGCAAAAATTCAACTAGCGATGGTCAAAAACCTGAAAGGTGGTTAAATTTGACAGCAATATTTACCGTTCAATAGTTTGCGATGCTGTTCAATAATTGCTGTGGCCCCCGCTTTACTGATAAAGTCAAATGGCACGAATTTCCACTAATCGTGATATTTCCCAAAAATAAGCATTTTAAGTTCTGGCCCGAGACATTAGATCAAACAATAGATCACTTGAATTTGGGACGTAGAGAGCCGGTTCGCCTGGCGACTGATCCACTTGTAACAACAATTTCAGTGCAACAAAAGTGAACTGCTGCATACAGGGGGGGGCCTCAATAATGCACATTTGGACAATGCATTTGCCCAGTATTGCACCCTTACACCCTTATGAGCCGGGGCACGAGTTTTACACGTGTCAGATTATCGGACGGATGCTCCCGCCTTGGCTTTGTAGGATGCTGATCGCCGGCAGACCGATCGATCGAAGAGACTACTGTAGCAGCACAGCAAACAAGCGGTTTCGACATGTCAACCCAATCTTCCCTGCCGCCTGACGGATTGCGCAAGGCAAAGCGTGTCTTTATGGATGCATTCGGCTCGCAGAACACGAAAAGGAGGACGCAAACTATGATTAACGAGTTCATTACTGTTTGATCGCGACGTGTAGAGCCAGCTGCGAGCCGTGCAGGGCTCGCAGGCCCATATCTGTAGTGCTGTCAACGCCATATCCCCCCTCACATCATCTTCCCTTTCATCAAATCTCCAGGTCACACATACAAAAGTGCTTGAACTTTCGACAGAGCGCAGCGATTGTGAACATTTTCGTAAGCAAAGACACCAAGGATCGATCTACTGTACAGTGAACGCGCAAAGCACTTGAAGTTTCTTCCATATTACTGCACATCGGGAGTACTGCACCTTTTGTGCTTACGACACGGGTGTGCACTAATGAGCAATACCCACTGTAATTACAAAACGTTAATACGGGACGGGCCTCTTTACACAGGACATTAAAGCTTTGGTTAATTATTGGTTCATAGGTGCCAAATGCTATGGAACGTGTGTGCAATAAATCGGGCCCGCCAAGATATTTGCACCTGCTTACATTAAAGCAACGCCAATCACCACAAAAGTGCGATATTTCGCCTCACAAGAACACGCCGCATGACGTGTAAAAAGGAATTGAATTTTAGTTTCTGACAAGTGGGCTCCGTGCGCGCTTCGCGCGCCAAGCCAAGTCCCTTCCTCCTCCGCTCCTCGTACTGCACACGCTGTCGTTCCCCGCCCCGCTGCTCCCCCTCCCTCTGCGCTAACTCTCCCGTCTTCTCTCCGGTCTTTGTCGTCTCTTGCCCCCTCGTCCTGCTACACGTTACTCGCCCCTGCGCGTCGCGCCTGGTCCGCGCCGCCGCCCTCTGCGCGGCCGCCCGCCTTTGTCCCTTTCCCCCCCGGCCGCAGCGGGGTCCCTGCAGCCCGCAAACATGGTCAGCGCCGCTGCCCTCCACGCCGCCGCTCGCTTCCGCCTAACACTGCTACCTGGCGGCGGCTCCCGGCACCCACCCGCCTGCGCGCGCCCTCCTGCACCGCAGGCTGCGACACCTGCCCGGCTCGCAGCGACCACTTTCCCCGTTCTTCGCACCTCCGTGATGCGCGCGGCCCGCGCCGCCGCCCTCTGCGCCACCGCTCCCACCACTACCTCGACCGCCCCTTCCCAAGCGCACCCGTCCACCACGTCCCCGCGCCGCAGGCACACCCTGCCCACCAGCCCGCAGAACGTCTCTGCCACGCCCGCGTCCGTCCGCCGCGCCCCTGCCACCCACCACGCACGTCGCCCGCCACATCTCGCCGCGCACGGCGCTCTTCGCTGCGTGCTGCCCGCTCATGTTGCGTAGAAGCTCCACGCAGCTCGCCACCATGCGCGCTTCGCCCGCCCGCCAGTCCAGCAGAGTCTCCGACGCCGCTTGGAACCGCTTTGCGTGGAGCTGCATGCACACCGCGTCCGCGATCTCGCGCGCACGCCCGTCCCACCCGCCGCACTCGCCCACCACGGCGTCAACGCCTGCCTCCGCTGCTACCCGGCACACCACGTCCGTCACCGTCTCTGAGCAACCCAGTTAGCGCGCGCTCGCCGTCGCGCCTCCCCCGCTCCCCGGTACGCGCGCCCAGTTGAAGACCCTTGTAGTACTCCACGCCGTCCAGCTCTGGCCCGGTCCGCTCCCGCGCCCTCCGCTCCCCCACGCGCACGCGAGAGTGTGGTGATCCATGCCGCCCCGCCTCGGCGCCCCCCACCTACCCTCCCCCACCGTCCCCATCGCTGCCTCAGCCCACATCTCCTCCACATCATCGCCGCACACCCAAAACCGCCCTCCGCCCACCATCATCTTGCAGCCCACCGTCCCTATCGCCGCCCGTCGCAGCCCCGGCCCGCACTCCCTCGTCGCCGCACATCCACATCCGCCCCCCAAAGTCGGAGCACCACGCGCTGCGCAACTCCGCCTTGAAGAATTCCGGCCCCCCCACGCACAGCCCCCCGCGCACCACCGCCCCGCTCACGTCGCCACGAGCCTCCGGTATTTCGGGCAGCCCCGTGTCTCACGCGTACGCCCCCCTGCCGTATGCGTTCATCTACCACACCGCCGTCACGTGCTTGCAGTGCCCGCCCCAGTTCCGCCCACAATGTAGATCCGCCTGGCGCAGTTTAAACGGATCCGGGCTAAAATTTGTAGTGTACTGTAGCGCGGCCGCGCTCCGCAGTCCGCACAGTTATTTTAATTTTAAAATTTAACTTGTCGCCACTTGTCAGCCTGTACTGTAGTGGGGCCCGCCCCGCAGTCCGCACAGTAATTTTAATTTAAAATGTTACACTTGTCGCCACTTGCCACCGCCACGGGGACACGTGGCGGCCTGGCCTGCGGCCAGGCCCCGCCTGTGGCCGCCACTTATCACGGTAGCGCCAATGGCAACGCCGGAGCGCAAAGACATACAGACAGACAGACAGACACGGATTTTAGTAGTTGTAGACAAGTGGGCTCCGTGCGCGCTTCGCGCACCGAGCCAAATCCCTTCTTTCTCCGCTCCTCGCTCCGCACCTCCTGCTCCGCCGTCCCTTCGTCTCTTGTCCACCATCGTTGCCGGCGTTCTCCGCCCCGCTGCTCCCCCGTCCTCTTCGCTACTGCTCTCGTCCTCTCTCCGGTCTTCGTCGCCCCTTTCCCCCTCGTCCTGCCACGCGTACCGCCCCTCTGTGCTCAATCTGGCTGCAAGTCGCGCTGCTCTCGCCACACTCGCCTCAGTCCTGCTCGCCACCGTTGCCTAGGCCGTTACCCTGGTCGCTACGGTTGGCACTCCCGTCCGCCTCAACCTCCGTACCGGCGAACCCGTGGCCCACCGCCCACACTGCCCCCTCCCTCTCCCCGCTTCTGCTCTCGACTGTTTCGCCGCCGCCCGCGTTGCCTGGCGCCTACGCCGCGAGGCGCTTCGCTTCCTCAATCCCCGCACTCCCACTTTCGTCCCCCTACCCTTTCGTTATTCTATGGCTCTCACGCTCTAGGCACACGCCCGCGCAACCACACCTCACCTGCGGCCCCGCCCTACGCCACCTGGCCCCTCTACTCGTGCGGCTCGCCCCGCTCCCTCCCGCCCTGCAGCGGCCTTGCCCTCTCCGTCGCCGGCCTCCGCCCCTGCTGCTGCTCTTGTCGCCCCCAAGTAACCGTCGCCTCACGTGCCCGGGCTTGCACCCCCACCTCGCCTTCCGCTCCACCCATTTCGCCGCCTGTGCACCTCCTGCTCAGCTTCCTGCTCCGACGTTTGCAGTTACTGCTCCCGACGTCCTCATCCTTGCTGCTGCTGCCGCTGCCCCTGCTTCGTCGCGTGTGCTCTCAGCGATTCTCCCGCCCTCCGCTCTCCTGGTTCCCCTCCCCTCCTGCCTCCTTTGACCGCCCTACGATCCCTCCTCCCCTTATGATGCGCTTCCCCCATCCCCCGCCTGCCCGCCTCTTCTTGATCAAGCCGATCACAGCCACCTTCCCCTCTGCACGCCGTTTCCGTAGGCCCTCCTTCTCGTCAGTCGCGGTGCCGCTCCCGCACCCACAGTCATCGCAGTTAGTCAATCTTCCCTCTCGTACGCTGCGGACCCCGCGGAAGGAGCGCAGCGCGACCGCCTGGGCGTCAATTCTCAGCCCCCCTGACCCGCGCGCGTCTTCTTGCGCTGCCGGCTGCGACACCTGCCCGCCTCGCAGCGACGGTCTTCGGCGTTCCTCGCCCCTGCTCCTCGCGCCGGCGCTCGCCGCCACCCCCTTCCCCCCCGGGCGCGGTCCGGCCCCTTCCGCCCGCGCTCTGCACTCCCCTCTCGGGCCTCGTCAGCGACCTCTGCCTTCACCCACCGTGCGCGACCCTCGCGACAGCGTGGCCATGCGGCCCCCCTCGCCCCCCGCCAGTGACACACGCTTTCCCCTCGCCGCTGCCGCCTCTGAGGTCATTCGGAATTTTTAAATGACCCACGTAATTTCTGCCCATCCCGTAGCCGCCACGTGTCCTTGGTGGCCGCTTGGCCTGCGGCCAGGCCGCCCCGCAGCCCCCCGCCACTTGCCACCGCCACGGGGACACGTGCAAAATTTGTTTTCCCGCGAAAAGGCACATCGGAAAAATTGAAAATATTAGGCGCACCAATCAGCACGGCGGCTTCTACAGAGCGCACCACTGGCAACGCGGCAGCCTGGCCTGCGGCCAGGCAGCCTCGCACGTGGCCGCCGCCACTTGTCACGCCACGTGTCACCGCGGCGCCCCCGTGCGCCAATGAGAACCCGTGCGGGAGCGCACGAACACACATACACAAACACACAGACAGACAGACACGGAAATTAGTATACGCGGGGATCGACTGCACAACCTTGTGCACTTTCGTTACCGTTCCATCTCCGCCACGGTGGTCTCTCTCAACTAAGGAGCGCGAGCAGACCAACCTGCACTTGCCGACGTCACCTCTGCCGACCGCGCCACTCGCTCCACACACAGCCGCATCCCTATTCGCGACTCGCGACGCACAGCCAAGATGACAGCCGAGATGCAGAAGCTGGCCAACGACCCGAACTTCGTGGTGGAGTTCGCAGTAGGCGACCCTGCGCCCGTGCTGGTGCCGCAGCGGCGCGACGCGGGTCTGCGCATGTCGGGCGTGTACTTTGACCAACCCAAGCGGTACGTGCTCAAGTCTGCGCACATGTCGCGCGAGGACAACCGGATCTTCGACCCGGACAACGGGCGGTGCATCATGGTGTCGCACCACCCGGGCAAGAACCCGTACGACGCGTTCGACCCGCTCGGGACGTCCAACGTGGAGAACCGGTACAAGGTGGCCGGCGGGGAGTGGGAGAGCGTGTGCGACGTGACGGCGCGCGCGCGGGGGTTTCGAAGCTTCAAGATCCGACCGAAGAAGGTGAGTCGGCACGGGAGGCAGTACGTAAAGTTTGGAGATGAGACGATTATGAACGTGGGCAAGGTGGGGAAGATGAAGACGATGAGCTTGAGGAATCATTTCACGATTGGAAAGGGCGAGGATGGGGATTTGGTGTATACGTGCGTGGCGGATATGACGGGGAGGACGGTGATGTTTAAGAACCAGGAGGACGAGCTGGTGGCGCAGATGGCCAAGACGACCAAGGCGCTGCTGCAGACGGTGGCGTTTGGGAGCGGGAGTGAGAGCACGATTGACATCGCGCCGGGGGTGGACTGCAGCATGATTCTGGCGACCGTGTTTGGGATGGCACAGGTCGGCGAGCACTTCATGGCCGATGCGTTCAACAACTACGTGATGGACCCCGTCAAGGACAGCGTGGTGGACTCGGCCGTGGACGCGGCAGGGCTGGGTGACGTCATGAACGATTACAACCAGCTGTCCGGACAGGCCGCTCGGCAGACGGGGATGCTGACGCAGACCGCGCGCTTCATGAAGCGAAACTTCTTCGAGTAGGCGCGTTTGGTGGGACGCGTAGACAAAGGTTGAAGAGCAATTTCAAGTGATAAAGTGCATGTGCTTTGATTTTATTACATAACGTGCGGTAATGATGCTTCTTCGAGGAGCCGACTGTGGTGGGACGCGTAGACAAAGGTTGAAGAGCAATTTCAAGTGATAAAGCGACTATGGTGGACGCGTAGACAAAGGTGCGGTAATGATGCTTCTTCGAGGAGCCGACTGTGGTGGGACGCGTAGACAAAGGTTGAAGAGCAATTTCAAGTGATAAAGCGACTATGGTGGACGCGTAGACAAAGGTTGAGTGGCGATTTCAAGTGATAAAGTGCTTGTGCTTTGATTTAATACGGAACGTGCGAAATGATGCTTGTTCATACTGCCTCCGAGGCATGCATGCTGCATGTTTGCGTCGCAAAGGCTTGTACACGTGTACGGGCTGGACGGGATCAGAGATCCGTCAACGCGTGATCTGGTGTGGGCGGCGTTTGATCCAGACCAGTCTGAGATCGGATTGTGGGCGTGCGCCGCATGCGATTTACATTTCGCGATGACGGCGCGGCGGCGAGGAAAGAAGCGTAAAAGGCAAAAGCTGTCTACACTCTTCGAGTCGGAGCAACGGGACGCTTGATAGTCGGGCAGACGCAACGCACGGCCACATAGAGCGCAGGCTAGAACGCGTGCGACATAATGACTGCGCCCCCCTTCCCCCTCCACAGAGGCGAGGCGCGGCGAGACGGCGAGCCTCCGGCAGGGCCGAAAGCGCGTTCCTCTCCGGATCGCGTGCTCGGCGTTGGCGGCGGCGTTAGCGACGGCGCTAGGCGGCGCAGCGTGCAACAGTTTGCAAATGAGAGCGGCATAGTTCACGTCTCTCCCTCGGGCCCGCGTGCGGGAAGTAACGAGGGAGGAGACTCTTTATTCAAGATCGCGAGATCAACGCGCAAGCGAGCGTGCACTAAAACCGTGGGGAAGCCTGCTCAGTGGCGACCGCGCGACCTTGTCGTACGTACATTCGTAGCGAGGCGTTGGGCGCGACGCGTGCGGGAGGCGGGGGCGGGGGTTGCTCGGAAACGGTCGGAAAGTGTTGGGCGAGCGGGTGAGGAAGGGTGGACGCCGGAGGGGCAGACTTCGCCACGGATGAGCGGTGTGCAGGTGTACAGCACAGGGGCGACGGCGTGGGCCGCGGCGTGAACGGTCGGGCGGCGCGGCGAATCGCGCCGCCGCAATACTCCAACGGCCCCTGTCACGCGTATCGAATTACACCACGCGGGTCTGCACTCGACCGCACCAAATCCGCCCCCCGCCTCTTTAGCATTATCTCCACCCGATCACCATTCCCCTCCCGCCCCCTACGCACCCCCCCCTCCCATACTCCCCCCCCTCCAAGCCCGCACCGCACCCCCGGTCGGCCCCGCACGGCGTAGCCTGCGGTCCCCCGTCGCAACCATGCGCGGCCTCCCGCTCTCACTCGCATTCCTCCTCGCCTTGCTGCCGGTCCTCCACGGCGCCTCCCTCCCGCGCCAGTCGGTCATCCCGATTCCCGACGTCGTGCAGTCCGAGCAGCCGCAGCCGGGCTCAGAACTAACCCCGACGGCGACGGCCTCCGTCTCGCCGTCGCCGGTGCCATCGCCAGTGGCGGTGCCCCCGGGCGGCGCCGGCGAGGAGGCCGACGAAGAGGCCGACGAAACCGACGAAGAGGCCGAGCCGTCGCCCAGCGAAGAGGTCGAACCGTCGCCCGGCGTGGTGGGCCCCGCCGCGCCGGCGCCCGAGGGCTCGCTGGAAGGCGTCAACTCGCGCTCGGCCAACCTCGCGTCGGGCCTGATCACGGCCTTGCTCTTCGTGCTCGCCTTCCTGGCGTTTGTGGCGCTGGGCGCGGCGACGCGCTCGCGCTCGGACGAGGCGCCCGTGTACACGTCGAGCTCGGCGGCAGCGGCAGCACCGCCGCCGGCCGACGACGCCAGGCCGGGCCTCACCGAGGCCGTGTACACGTCCAATGACTAAGCGCGCGCCGACGGTC